TTTGAATGTTTTTAAAAAAATTAAACAGAAATAAAATTCATATTTTGCCAAATACAAGATAAGATAAAGTTTTTATGCTCAATTAAAACTTACAAAATATTACTAATGAGATTGAGAACCAGCCAAGAAGAATCTAATTAAAATAGGATAGATCTGCTGTAAAAACAATTTTTAACAAGTTTAATGACTTGCCGAGGAAGAATTTGTTTATTAAATAAGTCTTTTTATGAAAATATCTTGGATACGCAATTTATGTGGAAATACTGGTAAGACTTTGCAACCTTACGACTCCTCTTGTTTTCGGTTTCTAGATAAACAAACTTCTTAGGTTTCATATAAAGTTTTCAAAACTTTTTAATTTTACATGAAATCAAAATTGTATAAAATGTAGATGCTTCTCCCTACTTTCTTTCCTTAGTTTTAAATTCTTTTCTGATTTATCTGTTGGAACTAAACTATAGGAACTTAATTTACTTTAGTTTGGTGTAAACTAAACTATAGGAACTTAATTTACTTTAGTTTGGTGTGAACTCAACTATAGGAACTTAATTTACTTTAGTTTGGTGTGAACTCAACTATAGGAACTTAATTTACTTTAGTTTGGTGTGAACTAAACTATAGGAACTTAATTTACTTTAGTTTGGTGTGAACCAAACTATAGGAACTTAATTTACTTTAGTTTCGTTTGAACTAAACTATAGTAACTTAATTTACTTTAGTTTGGTGTGAACTCAACTATAGGAACTTAATTCACTTTAGTTTGGTGCGAACCAAACTATAAGAACTTAATTTACTTTAGTTTGGTGTGAACTGAACTATAGGAACTTAATTTACTTTAGTTTGGTGTGAACTCAACTATAGGAACTTAATTCACTTTAGTTTGGTGTGAACCAAACTATAGGAACTTAATTTACTTTAGTTTGGTGTGAAAAGACCCCAATCAATGGAATAAGTTTAGACCTGTAAAAAGTGTGAAGATGATCAGTGAAAAACTAATTTATTCTTTTATTCTCTTTTTATAGAAACTTTCCTTTACTCTGATTCTTTGTTAGGGGTTCTTGGCGAGGTCAAATGTGGCCAAAAATCAATAAACAGCAGATAAAGGTGTATTGAGAGTGTAGCTATTATACAGAAAGTTAGAAATAAGATTTTTTTCAAGACAGCAATTAATTCTTTGGTTATTTTTAAAATTTTAATGAAAAATCTTACATTTAGAACAAAAAAATCTGAAATAAGTATCTTTAAATTTTATCAACAATATCTTCGTTATTTTGTCCATGGCTCTCAGTACCAGAATTAAATATATTTCTATTTGTCAATCGGAAAATATGAATTTCCATCAAATATCACAGTGTTAGAAATATCGAACTGCCTCTATCTGTAACAAGATCAGATCAAGAACTTTTTCTTTTTCGTTTACATTTTTTGTAATGGAGTTTTAGCCAACCCTGGCCCCCCTCTTTTATTTTTGTTCTCGTCCTGTCATCAACCCCCTGAATCATTATTCATGCTTTTATTTCAAGTTGCTACATTTCTTGATTAATGATCATTGTTTAAACAATTAGTGAACATTATATAGAATATATTAAAACATAAAATGTTTATATAACATTTAATAATAAGACTATTGAACTAAAAATAAAGGATAGATAAGGTTAGGAAACCCTATCACAATGGAGGGGGGAACCCCCTTCCCTCCCCCCCTTGTTTTATTCTTTAACTGGCTAACGCTCAAAATTCTTCATTTTGCAAACAAAACTTTTTTAATGCATAGAATAGGATGGAGGACGGTCAAACGGCTGGTCGGTGCTCCAAAAAATCAAAAGTAGTTAATAACTTTTTTATTAATTCGGCTACAGATATAAACATTTATTTATTTAAAAAGCTCTTGTAAAATGAATATAAATAGATATGTCATGTGTTAATATTTGTCAAAAGTAAAAAAAATATTTTCAACAGTTTTTCGACGTACTCATTGAACTTTTTCTTAAAACCTACCTGGCACCCTAACCAAAAAAGTTAGAGGTATAATTTTTTATAAGCTGACCTTAAAGAGTTTGACTAGGGGGACATGTAACACATCTCCTATAGTTTGCACATTGCCACATAAACCCAATTAAAGGGTTAAATAATAATAAATAATAATGTTGATTGAGATTAAAACTAAATTTAATAGCGCTGCCAACCTGTTAAATAACCGATACGGTATAGAGATTGATAGATCCTTTCCTTCAGCCTAGGCTTTCCAGCGAACGAAACGAATCGCGAAAAATCGCAAAAATCAATGTAGCGAATAATGCGAAAAGTGAATTGAAAGTGTAACAATTAATTAAGCAAAAAATCTATTGGGGAATTCTCTGCTCTGAGAGATCAACATTAAAAGTTTTATTATTTTATTATACGAATAATTTCTCTTCCTTTACTTTCATGAAGAAAATTTGATTTCTCTACCTTTTTAAGTTTCTGTCCGTCACCAAAATCCAGCTAGCCATGAGCCAGCCAGCCAGATAGTTATTTTACAGGTTGAATTTAAAATAATGCTATTTATTTTTGTTCTACCCATAACAGATTTTATATTGTGTTTTAAGAAAGAGATTCTAAAGGTTGAGAAATTATTTATAACTTACGAGCAAATCAATGAATTGTGTCCTCAATGTTCTTAAATCTATACATTAGGTCGCTTTATATTTCGATCAGGATAAATCCCCAGAAATTCGCGAAATATGCGTCTTAAATTCTCAAAATTTTGTATTTTTTTAAAAAGAAATTTCGCAAAATGTAGACATTTCAAATAAAAATTCCGTATTTTTTCGCTAATTTTCGCAATTTTTCGCGAGATTTTCGCATTTCTTATTTTGCGAAAAATTAGTTTTTTTCTCGAAACAGATAGAAGCGAAATATCGCAAAAAAAGCATTTTTCGCGAGCAGAGGAATTGCGAAAATTTTCGCGAAAATGAGAAATTTTCACGAAGAAAACTTCAGAATAGATGTGTTTATTATATTTTAAGTCATTTTCCAAACAATTATGCTTGTTTAGAATAAAAAATTGGTTATTAATACTAATACTAAAACTTTTCAGATATCTACAGTAAATTTTTTACAACAAAAATTCAATTCGTTTCTAACAAAATCTAGCTGAATTCCTAAATAAAAATTTTTTTTAAAAATTTATTACGTGTGTTACACACCCTACAGGCTACAAACTCCTAAAATGTAAAGCACTGTAGACGGTAGTTTAATAATTAATAAAACCCATGGAGAAAGAAATGTGTATGCAATGTACAGGGATATTATGTTATTAATGTTGACAAGTATACATTAATTAATTTCATTTCTCTTTATACTTTATTTATCGGGATAATTTTCTAGCAATATTTATTGTACAATTTGTTCATATAACCAGGGGAAGGGGAAGGTTAAACAATTAATAAAAAAAATATTTAAAATCAAATTATAAATCTCGGCGTAACTTTGTTTTTATCTTTCGTTAAAGGAACTGAGTATTTCCCACAAACTCAAATTTTCTTATCCTTATATCCTTGCAACCTGATGGTGTAAACCTTTGTTTTTTAACCTTGATTATTAATCTAACAGAATTCACAATATGACAAATAGATATATTTACAGTCTACGAGATTGGTTTCAAAAGATGTATGGATCAGAAAATCAGTGTTTATGGGCTTTCTAAAAAGTGGCGACTATGGTTCCCAGTTTGAGAAAGGTTAAGCCGAGGCGTGCCCTCTAGATATATTTCTGTATAGATATATCCATCTATCCATCTATATGGCTGAATATACATCTTTATTTATCTAGGAAAACCCTGGAATTCTCAAGAGTGTGTAAGAACCCTTGAAGTTTAAACTAACATAGGTCTTCATCAGATCTGTCTATCTATCTATCTAAATATCTATATATCTATCTATCTATATATCTATCCATCTATCTACCTATCTATCTCTCTATTATATCAGATTATCTATCTAGTAACTACATATGTATCTATCTCTCTATTATATCTGATTATCTATTTAGTATCTCTCTATGTATCTATCTATCTATCTATCTATCTATCTATCTATCCATCCATCTATCTATCTATCTATCTATCTATCTATCTATCCATCCATCTATCTATCTATCTATCTATCTATCTATCTATCTGTCCATCTATCTACCTACCTATATATCTATTTATGTATCAATCTATTATCAATCTATTATCTATCTATGTATCTATCTATTTATCTATCTATGTATCTATCTATCTATCTATTATCTATTTATGCATCTATCTATTCATCTATCTATCTATCTATCTATCTGTTCATCTATCTATCTACCTTTATATCTATTTATCTATCAATCCATTATCTATCTATCATCAATCTATTATCCATATAATATCTATCTATTTATCTATCTATTTATCTATCTATCTATCTATCTATCTATCTATCTATCTATCCATCCATCTATCTATCTATCTATCTATCTATCCATCTATCTATCTATCTATCTATCTATCTATCTATCTATCTATCTATCTATCTATCTATCTATCTATCTATCTATCTATCTATTGGGGGAATAAGGGAGGCTGTGGATAGGGGGATATTCTTGGAATTATTGATTATTGATAAAAATAACATACTTCCTTCATCCTCATTTTTCTTTTTTTCCATCACAGTTTTAAGAAATTAAGGACACCTTATTTTTTCGAGCCAAAGTTTCATACAGAATGTTGTCCTTTTTAAACATAGTTAAACGAAGATGACCTTTTTAGTGTATTGTAAAATATATGTCATCATAGTTTTGGTGTTTAAAAAAGTGGAAAGATACAAGTTTTTATGTGTTTGAATTTTTGAAAAAAATTAATTAAAATTACAATATTTAGTTGGCTACATTTCTGACCTTTAATAAACCAACTTCTATCCTTATTCTCTCCATTTCATAATTTCGCTTTTGGGTTTACATAAAGAAAATGAGAAATAACCCGAACACAAGATAGAAAAACTGTATTTAAAAGAGTGAGTAAATAAAATAATATGATAATAAAATCAACAATAGTTGAATTAATATAAAGAAGAATTGATCAATATATAGATACTGGTTTAAGGATTAAGTTTATACAAAAGTAAAACAAGAATTTAAAAATTGTAATTAAGGAATCAACTCTAACTCTTGATATTAGTCCTCTCCCAGAACATTTGGCATTTAAACCCAGGGAACTCCTTCACTGTCATGGTCTGGACAAATCCAGTCTCATTGAATTCACGCTGGGACAACAAGGTTCTAAAGTATACAATTTGTGGTTTTAAAACTTGTTGATACTAAACTAAACCCTAAACTAAGTGGGGAATGGTAAGGTACTAACCTGAACCCTGAACTAAGTGGGGAATGGTAAGGTACTAACCTGAACCCTGAACTAAGTGGGGAATGGTAAGGTACCAACCTGAACCCTGAACTAAGTGGGGAATAGTAAGGTACTAACCTAAACCCTGAACTAAGTGGAGAATGGTAAGGTACTAACCTGAACCCTAAACTAAGTGGAGAGGGGTAAGGAACTAACTTGAACCCTATAAGTAAGGTACTAACCTGAACCCTGAACTAAGTGGGGAATAGTAAGGTACTAACCTGAACCCTGAACTAAGTGGAGAATGGTAAGGTACTAACCTAAACCCTGAACTAAGTGGAGAATGTTAAGGTACTAACCTAAACCCTGAACTAAGTGGAGAATGGTAAGTACGAACAGTAACTATTCTATTGTGTCCAACACTAACGCAAACAATATCCAGAGGTCTATCTGTTTCAGGTTCTGATCCCTAAATTAAAACAATTTTTAAGACTTTGGTGCCTTTTTAAAAAAGAGGAAAAATTAAATCTTTGAATTATTAGTGTAATTGTAATCTTTGTAATATTAAACCTAAAAAACATGGTCTAAAAATGTCCATATTTAAACCCCCAATAAACTCTATAAAAATATTCCTTTTCATTAGAAAAGGTAACTTTATTTTATTCAAAACATTATTTCCAAATTTTATCATAGTAAACCAGAGGCCGAATTTAAAGAATTTGAGCCGGGGTTTCAATTTAAGCCGCGGCTCAAATATGGTTGTTTCCACTTAAAATTGTATTAAATTTTTAAAGATTTAATTCTGCGCTTAATTGAAACCGGTTTTTGGGGAATTTGAGACGCGGCTTAAATTTTTTAAATTCGGACACAGGAGATATGTAAATATTGTAAATGGTACCTTAGTTACTTTTCCAAACTCAGACTCCCATTCCATATTCCTAAAAAACGTTAAATATCTAAAAATCTAGAGGCTAATATTTTTGCATTATGTTGGCTTGCTTGGTTTCCACAAAAAAAATGAGTTATTTTATACAGTATTTTGCTTTAATAAATTTAACTTATTATCATATTTATTGAATACTAGCTGAAGGGTGCGGCGTTGCCCATGGAAAAAAAATTTGAAAATTTGTAATACAAAAAATTTTTAAATGGAAAAAAAAAGAAATTTTGAGAATTTGTTTTTAGCCTATAACACCCCCGGCCACCCTGAGTGTCCACAAAAAAATGTCAGCACAATCGGTCCAGTCGTTTGGGCGGCTATAGGCAACATATATATATATACGAATGTCTTGTTTTATTATATAGATTTATGTATTATGTATCTTATATTTACCTGAAGTGGGAATACTGAAGTCGAAAACTCCAATGTTTGGGCTCCTAGAATTATATAAATTGCTTTAATAGTTTTTAATGAACCTTTCTCTTGCACAATTCTATTATGATATGATAGATAACAATTGTACAGCAAGCTTTAAAGTAAAGATTTACCTTACGCCGAGCTTCGAAGTAATGATCAACCTTTACCACTACAGAAGGCCAACTAAAGTATATTATATAATTGTAAAGATTGATTTTCAAGGAACAAGCCACACTTCACGTTGAAATGGACAAATACCTCCCTTACTATTTTTTCTATTTTAAACAAAATACGATCTGTTACACTAAACTATAGTACAGGGTGTCCCAATAAACATGGGAATTCAGTGACGTATTCGATATGAATAATTTTTTGATTTTGTATAGTGATACCTACTGAGAAAGCTGTAATCTGTAAGACTTTCGTCTGCTATGTTCACATTTTGTTTGTTTATGTTTTGACTGCAAACGGTTGTGCTTAGTAAAACAGGAAAATTGCAGTATACTAACAGTGTAAACTTGACCGTCTTCACTTTTAATCTTGCGGAGACATTACAGACACATCTTTACAGTCTTTTACCCTTTTCATAAAATAAACTCTAGCAGACATAGTAATATTATGGCTTTTGAAATTAGGTATTACAATGCTAATTCATAACAAAGACGATATCCAATTCGTCACTGAATTCCCATGTTTTTTGGGACACCCTGTATATTGCACTAAATCCCAACATTAAACAAACAAATTGGATGTTACAGGACCAGTGTGGAAGAAGTTGTTCTCGAAAGATAAAGAGGTTGTTATGAGTATGACAAGTTTTAACAAACTACAATAACGCATTCTCTCCATGATGTGTAATCTGTGATTGTAGATAAATACTGAATGGGACTGTACTTATAAAATCCAGTGACTCTACATTTACAGATGGACGGCACTATAAACCTTTATCTGATTAATGATGAGGAGAATATTCTTCTTGTTTTGGTTAAAAAGGTTTTATCATTGTTTCTGTAGCAGAAATCCGCAAATCACATTCAAAGAGAATCAATGCAGTGAAAATAATAAATTTTTTAACTGAAAGCATTGATCGAGATCTTATTAGTTTTTGTTCTTACAAACCTTTTAATGGTATCGTTGTGAATTTGACATGTCGGGACCTTATAAGTGGAAAATCAATTTGAAATTACGCTTACAATCCCTTTATTTACTGGATAGAAATAAAGTTTAAAAATCTCACGGGACATGAAGATATTCCAAAAGTTCTTTATAATGGTTTGAGTTGACGAGGCTATAAACTCCCTCCACCAGCTTCTCATCTAGATCATCGTTAGGATAGTCCTCTCCGATCTAGATAATAATAAACTCAGATCTAGAGAAGAGAACTTTAGAGTTTTCAATCTGCACAAGCTGGTTTTGGATTACAAAGTTCTGGGGGTAAATATAGCCTTTATCCCTTGGTCTTACAAACAAGATATAATCACTCAGTTAGTAATTTTAGACAAAGTTCTTTGAAAATAAGATGATAAGACTAATTTTTTTTCTACGCCATTGACAAACCTGGGTCCCTTCCTAGGTTTTCAGTTTCAGTTTTCAGACAAATATTTTTGCTCTCATAAACTATAAGATAAATCATTTAAACTAAAGTCTGTTGATACAACAAATGAACGTACAGAAGACAAAAACAGTTGAAATACGTAGACTTAGTTGAACCACTTTTTTAACTTATAAGACCAGAGACAAGTGGTTCAACTAATTCTACGTGGTTCAAAATTTCTCTCTTTTCAGAAAAGCTGGTCCCATGTATTAAGAATCTAGGAATGTAAACTACAATTAACCCTTAAAACTCAGTTATTTATTATTTTTAGCATTTTTATTAATTCATTGAAGTCAATATTGTTATCATTTATCTCTTTTTTGGTACTCAGTAGTTCTAGAAATATGCAGAAAGCTCAAAAATCTTTTTTTAAAATACCTTTTGTACTTCATCATAGTAAACACTGTATTCATTGCTATCATTCTTTTCTCCAGAAAATATCATGCTGAAATCCGTGGTATTTGCAGAAATCTTCTTCAATCGCTTGTTGTTTTTTTGCTGACGTTTCCATGCGTTATAAACCTAAACGTTTTTTATGTGATTTTCTTAAACTTAATAAACATAGTTGAAGTTTACATATATTTTATTTTATTGGCAACTAAAAATTATACTTTATTTTTCTATTGAAAACTCTTACTTGGTATGAGAAAATACAAATTAGAGCCCCAGAAAGAATTCCAGTGATATGACGAGGCGACAGAGAAACCATTTGAACTAATTTGCGGATTTTACAAAAGTAACTGGAGCATTTTCAGATATATAATTTGTTTTGGAATATTTCAAGTCAAGACGTGAAAGTTTAGATTTTACCGAGCACGTTTGAAGCAGTTAAAAGAAATTGAGTCTTTGCCACAGACTCTGATTATCTAATCCCTATATTTATTGCAACCTGATGATGAACACTTTCGATATTTTAAACCTAAATTATTTGATCTAACAGAATTTATAGTTTGAAATATCTAAAAGGTCTAAGACTTTGGGTTGTTAAGATATAGGGATTAGAAAACCAGAGTTTGTGGCAAAAACTTGACTCCTTTTCAAAGTAAATTATAAATTATGAACGAATAGATGAATTTATGAGGAATACAACTATCCATATAGCTAACCCCCACTGTTTAATGTCCCCTGTTATAATTAACGAAGCAATTATTCGTAGGATTCGTAACATCAGAAAGGATTATAGCATAACAAAGCTTAACCAACGTAAGCTCATTTATGAATGCTACACCTTCCTTTATGTACATTGTACACTGTGTGGTGGGGGGGGGGGCATGGGTGGGCAAGGTGCCCCCTCCTCACTAGAAAGTTTAAGAAAGAAGTCGTAGTATGTAAAAAGAGTTACTCACGAAGAATGAGACTTCAGAGACGACTGTTTGAAACTCATTCTGCATGTTTCCTTTTATTCTTGATCCCATGCAACTTAAAACTTGTTAACTTAACTCCTTTGCAAAATCATTAAATAAGACATTAAAAGACTATATTCCAGGCAAACGTCTTAATTTAACCTTGTGATCTTCATATTTCAGAGATTCAAGGCGTTTTTTACCGTCTAATCCCATGTAGGTAACCAGCTGTATATCAAGTAAGCACGGACCAGGGTATGTTTATATATGTATGATCGAAGACCCACGATTAAAATTTTTTCCGTAATATCAAAAGATTAAGTTTTTCTTTACATCTATCTTTATTTTCATATGCCCAAATATATGCCACAGATCCATGGCACGAAAATAGGGTTAAAGTTTGAAGTTGCATGGTTAATAATCTTTAGTTTCTACCTTTTGCAAAAATCTATATCTATTTCTAATTAAACATACATTTGCTACCCACAGCAAAACTCTAAAAACAACAAAAAATTTAAATTTTCTAATTACTTTTTTTTAATTCAGAATCTTATTATGTTCCTTCCCTTTGCATCACTTTTTATAATTAAAGTGCTGGAATCTGACAGTTTTTACATGGTTTAAGATTAAGTGTTTCAGATAATTTCTATTGAACACATTGCTTACATTGCTTACACACCATTATTTAAATAATAGAGAAATATTCTTTTTTACTTTAACATATCTTCACTCTTCAGTCACATACATCAATCTTTTTAAACATCTTCTTTACCTTTCTTCTTTTCCCTCTCCTCCTTCTTTTCCTACTTTTTATCATCCTTCTCCTTCTTCTCCTCCTTCTTCTCCTACTTTTTATCTTCCTTCTCCTTCTTCTCCTTCTTCTCCTCCTTCTTCTCCTACTTTTTTCATCCTTCTACTTCTTCTCCTCCTTCTCCTCCTTCTCCTCCTACTTTTTATCATCCTTCTCATTCTTCTCCTCCTTCTCCCCCTTCTCCTCCTACTTTTTATCTTCCTTCTCCTTCTTCACTCCTTCTCCTTCTTCTCCTTCTTCTCCTCCTTCTTCTCCTACTTTTTTTCATCCTTCTACTTCTTCTCCTCCTTCTTTTCCTACTTTTTATCATCCTTCTCATTCTTCTCCTCCTTCTCCTCCTTCTTCTTCTAGTTTTTATCATCCTTCTCCTTCTTCTCCTTCTTCTCCTTCTTCTCCTCCTTCTTCTCCTACTTTTTTCATCCTTCTACTTCTTCTCTTCCTTCTCCTCCTACTTTTTATCATCCTTCTCATTCTTCTCCTCCTTCTCCTCCTACTTTTTATCTTCCTTCTCCTTCTTTATCTCCTTCTCCTTATTCTCCTTCTTCTCCTCCTTCTTCTCCTACTTTTTTTATCCTTCTACTTCTTCTCCTCCTTCTCCTCCTTCTCCTCCTTCTCCTCCTACTTTTTATCATCCTTCTCATTCTTCTCCTCCTTCTCCTCCTACTTTTTATCTTCCTTCTCCTTCTGCATCTCCTTCTCCTACTTTTTATGATCCTTCTCCTTTTTCTACTCCTTCTCCTTTCCCTCCTTCTCTTCCTTCTCCTCCTTTTCCTTCTTTTCCTCCTTCTCCTTCTTCTAATCCTTTTCCTCCTTCTCTTCCTTCTCCTCTTTCTCCTTATTCTCATCCTTTCAACCTTCTCCCTCTCCTTCTCATTTCCCTCCTTCTCTTCCTTATCCTCATTTTCCTCCTTTTCCTCCTTCTCCTTATTCTCATCCTTTTCCTCCTTCTCTTCATTCTCCTCCTTCTCCTCATTCTCCTCCTTCTCCTTCTTTTTCTCCTTTTCCTTCTTCTCCTCCTTCTCCACCTTCTCCTTCTTATTCTCCTTCTCCTCCTTATTCTCCTTCTCCTCCTTATTCTCCTTCTCCTCCTTATTCTCCTTCTCCTCCTTATTCTCCTTCTCCTCCTTATTCTCCTTCTCCTCCCTCTCCATTTCTCCTCCTTCTCCACTTCTCCTCCTTCTCCACTTCTCCTCCTTCTCCTGGGGAAGGGGCAAAGCCCAGCGTGATGTCAAGAATCAGAGGGATTCCATTTGTTTGCATTCCTTCCTCCCAGGTATACCAGGTTTACAGGGTGTACCAGGATACCAGGTTTACAGGGTGTACCAGGATACCAGGTTTACCGGGTGTACCAGGATATACCAGGTTTACAGGGTGTACACTTATAGCAGGTTTACAGGGTGTACCCAAGTATACCAGGTTTACAGGGTCTGCCAGGATATATACTGTAGCTAATACCTACTTCATAAAAATTTAATCGAGACGTATCTATCCAGGTCTATCAGTTAACACAATCAAAAAGGACCAGCTCTAATAGTCACACAGGGACACAAGCATCCAATAATATAGAACTCAAGCTTAGACTCTATACTCAACCAGGACCGGCTCTAAATGCCACACAGGGACACAAGCATCCAATACTCTCTCAGGCTTGTTAACAAGCCGTATCTCAACTTGTATAATTCAACGAGGACCCAAGCTATCTTTCAAGTTATATTCGATTAAATTGCCAATTATCAAGGCAAGATCTATCCTTCTAATAATGTAATCAAAGCTGAGTCTCTATCAACTAACTTTATTCAAATAGCTTATGTTACAAAGTTAACAGGAATTGACCTAGTTCAATTCCTACGATGTTATCTATATCATATGATTAATACCATCGTATTACGTATTTTACAAGATTAGAGAAAATGTATATCACGCAGTATAACTATCTACGTACATATTTTTATCGCGTAATTCAATTATGTCGCATGATTCAAGCTAACCATATTAAATATTCCATTGAAACGCAATGTACAATGTACTGCAATTTCACAGAATATCATGTTTGCTACAATACCAGGTTTACTGGGTGCACCAGGATACCAGGTTTCAGGGTGTACCAGGATACAAGGTTTACAGGGTGCACCATGATATACCAGGTTTACAGGGTGTACCAGGATACCAGGTTTACAGGGTGTACCAGGATATACCTGCAGGTTTAGAGGGTGTACCAGGATATACCAGGTTTACAGGGTGTACCAGGATACCAGGTTTACAGGGTGTACCAGGATACCAGGTTTACAGGGTGTACCAGGATATACCTGCAGGTTTACAGGGTGTACCAGGATATACCAGGTTTACAGGGTGTATCATGTATACCCTACAGTGACATACACTCTACAGGGTGCATTGAGGGAGGTCTTGTATTTGAGAACAAATTTTAAAAGTGTCAGTGGTTTCAGACATTGATATTTGGTTAGATAGCAAGAGATACGGAAATACAGTATTACAGAGATTCAGAGATAAAGATACAAAAAACAGGAAAAGATAAAAAAATATATTCCTTGAACTTTACAGGGGTGTTTATTTCTAAACAGTAGACAGTAGACAGTAGACAGTAGACAGTAGACAGTAGACAGTAGACAGTAGACAATAGACACTAGACACTAGACAGTAGACAGTAGACAGAAGACAGTAGACATTAGACAGCGACAGTCGTTGTTTGTAAATAAAAGTGTTTGTATGTGACAGGGTGGGGTGATATTAAAGCTTAATAAAAGTTCCAAATTGACACAAAGTCCCCGCTAAATCCAGCCTGATTGATCAGAGGGCTTATAGATAGATAGATAGATAAATAGATAGATAGATAGATAGATAGATAGATAGATAGATAGATAGATAGATAGATAGATTGATAGATAGATAGATAGAGATAGATAGATAGATAGATAGATAGATAGATAGATAGATAGATAGACAGACAGACAGACAGACAGATAGATAGATAGATAGATAGATCATAACAAACTATATAGCAAGGTAATCCAGCTTTGCCTGAAAACTTAACTTTCTCTATCAAAATGTACCCAATCAAGTGGTTCACCGAGTTCCCCTATTAAAATTTTAGACAAAACGTTGAATTCACACTTTTATGCCGATTCCATTAGCGCCTGATCCAATCAGGGTTCAGTCATGTGTTTGTTGTCTATTCTGAACCAATAGAAATTGTATGGCGGTAGCGTATATCTTTCAATATCATTAGAGTTATGAATCCTTTGCTCGGCGCTATCGGTAAATGGAAATATTTATTATACTACTGAAACTATAGTGTGAAGGTGTTCATGATTGGACATACAACCAAACATAAATTACTACCTTATTTACTTTATTTTCTTCTCATGCAAACGACGGATATACTCAAAAATTGCACTGATTGATTCATAATCGATTTCTCTACCTTCTTTTTTTTACAGGACGATTCTCCCTTTAATCTTACTTCATAATTCTAATTATAGACTCCAGGGGGGGTACTTATCGTATATTAAGACTTTTAAATGGGCGTCTGGTACATCTTAAAATCCCCAAAAGGGAATATTTTCAATTTTTT